GGCTATTGTATTGCCAACTTTGGAAGGGCATTGTCTTAGGTCATTATAGTCCCATGGAATGCTCTAGAATTATCATTTGCAAAGGGTTAGAGAGCTTGGTACTTGATTCACTTGGAAATTCATGCTTCTAGTGCTTTCCTTTATTTCCAAAGCACCTTTACTCATCCTCTGAACTCACGCCAAGCTTCTCACCTTTCAGGAGCGAGTAGTGGACCTCAGCATTGGCTCCCCTGTCGGTGTCCACGGCCCGGACCTGGAGCAGCTCTGTGCTGGGGGCTGTGGTGTCAGGAACGCTTGCCTCATAATGGAGCTGGGTGAAGCGGGGTGCATGGAGGTTTCCATCCTCCACATGGACGGTCACCCACACAAAGTTCCTCTTGATGGGTATCTCCTGGTCTCTGACCTAGGGGCCCAAGGGGAGGATAGGGTAAGCTGCCAATGGGATGGGAGGAGGCAGGGTTAGACTAAGGTCAGTGTAATGGAATGCCAATGGAAAGCGTACCCAATTGTAACTAACTCTCCGCATTCTTTTAAATCGTGCTCTAATCTATGCTCTTTCTTCCTTTTAAATAAATTTATCAATTAGTTGTTTTTAGACTTAGCTATTTTAATGGATACTTCCATTTTAGAGAAAGGCAGAAATAGGTAGAGAAGCGGTATTTTCCAAATTAGGTCTCAGGGAATATTAGTTCTTCAAGAGGTTAACGTGTTATGCAGGGGGAAAAAAAATCTATTGTCAAGTAAATTTGACGAGCCTCGAACTAAATAAAGTTCAGTTTTCTTTGTTGCAGGACTTCTCAGAGCCTTTAATATATATTAATTTGCCCAGAGGATGATAAACTAGCACATAACAACCCTAACTCTTGAGACAGGAGGCCGGACTCTGATTCTGATTCCATCATAAATAACTATATGACAGCGAGCAGGTCTCTTTTCCTCTGTGGGCCTCAGGTAGAAGGTAAGAGAAATGAGCAGTCAGGGCTGGGACCAGAGTGGGGCAAGTGAGGCACAGAGGGCACAAAATATAAGGAGGCGCTCGCTCTTGGGGTCATAAAAATTCAGGCAAACGACTCAGAGAGTGAATCCTCCTTAAATTGTGTGTCCGGCAGGCCTCACTTGCCAGACCCCAGTCCTTGCTCTGAGTGGGAGGGTCCTTTCCAGCTCTGACACTATGTGAATTCACGTTATGGCCATGAAGTCTCAGAGTAGGGAGAGAACCATCGGGGGATATTTAGGGTGAGTCCAGAGAAATCCAAGGTTGACAGGAGTTTCACTGGCAGCTGTCCCACCCTGTCTTCACTCCCAGACATCCCTTATGGAAGGTGCCCTTGGCCAGCTGTGAAATGTCACAACTGTGTCTCCTGGATCATCATTCCGGGCATCAGCACATCTGCCTTGGCAGGAGAAAGGCGACCTTCGGGCTGCCTCCAAGCGTCTCCACCCACACACATCTGCGTACAAGCACGTTCTCACCCAAGTTTTCGGTTTACTCACCATGACTGTCAGCGTGTGCTGGGAGGGCCCTGAGCCCAGGTCCAGTTTCCCTACGGTTACCAGGACACCACTGCTCGGGTCCAGCTGGAAGAGGTTGGCACTTCTTGGGTCTTGGCTGCCATGTAAGGTGTAGATGAGACCTTTGCCCTTGTCTTGATCCGTGGCCTGGACTCGGAGGAGCTCGACCCCAGGCAGCGTGTCCTGGGGAACTCTGACCTCATAATGAGCCTCCAGAAACTGGGGCCGATGGTGGTTGACGTTGGCAATCATGAAGATGTAGACCTGGGGAGGACAGAGGGCAGACTGTGGGCTCCAGGGGACAGGGACTGTGTCCTTCTGGATCTCCTGCTCCATCCATGCCTAGCACAGTGCCTGGTACACAGCAGTCGCTTGATATTAACAAATGTTTATTGAAAAATGATAGGATTTCAGAATCACAAGGCTTTCAGATACCACACAGTCTAGTGGTTTTCAAAACGAAAATTTTGTTAAAAGGTCTTTTCTCCCAATGAAATTTTATGTGAAATCCCAATATATGAAACAGATAAAACCTCTAGCTGAAGCCAGAGTAGAAATCCACAGCCCCACTTACCCAACCGTCATTCCCTATACCCATGGTAGCCCCTGGGAAACTCTACCTTTAACTAAACCGTTTGTTCAGACAAATTCCCTTGTTATACAGAGATGCAGACTGGGAATAAGAATTCTCCCAAGGTCACAGTAGTAGAAAGTATATTGCACAAGACTGGAGCTCAGAACCTCAATTCCAAATTCAGTGTTCTTTGAGGAACACCACATCCCCAGAAAGCCTTGTGTAGACTTATCCCGACCAAGAAGGCCTCCCATCTCCTCTTGACTCAGGGCTCCCCAAGTGAGGCCTCTAACCTGGGTGGCAATGGTGCGGGACCCATCTGTCACCTCCACGGTCAAGTTGTAGCTCGACCTCCTCCTCGTATCGAGGGGCCTGGCGATGACGATGCTGCCCGTGGTCTTCTCAATGTCAAAGTCCATGTCCTTATCCCCACCTGGAGTGGGGGTGGGGAAAAAGCACACACACCCTCAGTGATTTGGGCAGCAGTGGCATAACGTGGGTGCATAACATGGATCTGGCCGTCAGTTTAGAAGATGTGGTAATAGACGCCCACCTTGGATGGCAGGACTGAGAACATTCAAGGAAGAACCTGAATCAGGGATTCTAAAGACTTTATTCAGAAGCAGTATGATATCTGAGTGATGGGCTGGAGTTTATGCCCGCAGGAGTCCCAAAAGCTGTAATTTATCCTGTCACATTATTGTCAAATTATTACCAAGACCCAAATAATGATACAGAAAAAAGGTAAACCTACAATGGCCGAAGAGTCCCATAGGAAGACCAAAATTTGCTATAAAACTTATTTTGCTATTGGGATTGAAACGGAGCTCTGCTTCGTAGTTTACAGGGAGTTTGCACTAATATGCAAACCACCTGTGATAGTCCTGCGCAATTGCACCGTGCCTATACACAACAAAAAATGAAACTAGGTCTGTTCAACAAGAGGGACTTGATTTAATAATCTATAAGGATCCAAAATATAAAATAACATGAAGCTATTTAAATGTCTACGATATAGAAATATATTTAATGACATGGAAATACGTTTATGTTATATTACATTTAATAATATTATAAAACAATATTTTAACAACACTCCAAGGGTGTGTTATGTGTGTGCTTGGGAGCACACTTGTGTGTGTGGAGAAAAATGACTAGAAGGAAGCACATCAAAATTATAACAGTGAATTATCTTCTGATTGGTGGGAATTTAGGTGATTTTTATTTTCTTCTCTGCATTCATTTGCGTTTTCTAAATGTTTTATAGGATGTGTGCATTAATTATATATTCAAGGAAAAAAAGTCAAATGATTAAAAGAGCAGTGAATCAGAACCGGAAATAAGTTCAGGAAGTCGAAGAGCTTGGGCCAGGTGCGTATCCTATCCTATCTCTGAGCCAGGCTGGGATCTGTTATAGGACTGCATGTGCATGTAGGTGCTGAAATTCTTGATTAGAGATTTTTTTTTTTTTTTTGAGACAGAGTCTCACTCTTTTTGCCCAGGCTAGAGTGAGTGCCATGGCATCAGCCTAGCTCACAGCAACCTCACACTCCTGGGCTCAAGCAATCCTTCTGCCTCAGCCTCCCGAGTAGCTGGGACTACAGGCATGCGCCACCATGCCCGGCTAATTTTTTCTATATATTTTTAGTTGTCTGATTAATTTCTTTCTATTTTTAGTAGAGACGGGGTCTCGCTCTTGCTCAGGCTGGTTTTGAACTCCTGAGCTCAAACAATCCGCCCGCCTTGGCCTCCCAGAGTGCTAGGATTATAGGCGTGAGCCACCGCGCCCGGCCCTTGATTAGAGATTTTTAACTTGGAATCCCTGGATGGGTTTCAGAGAGCCTATAAGTTCACATGCAAATTTATATTTGTGTATGTGTATGTGTGTGTGTATGTGTGAGTGTGTGTGTGTACAACTTTCTGGAAAGAGGACCTAGCTCATCAGATTCCCAAAGGGCTCTGTGACCTTAAGATGTTCTAACAAAACCTTGAGTTAGAGACAGAACGGAATTTCAGAGGGGGCCATCAGAACCTGGATGCAAGTACCTCCTAGAACGAGAAGGGGCACTTTCCCCTGTTGTTGACATCTGGGGCCAGAACACTGAGCATGGCCCCAGGGTACAGCTGACCGCAGGCTTATGGTCAACAAAGTCAGCTCTACATTGATTTTCACATGAAGCAGAAAAACAAACGAGCTTGTGCTTTCTGCTCTGGGTCTTCCTGGACCCTTCATCTTAGGTCTCCCAGGCACTTGGGGTAACTGAGGCACTGCCAACTCTGGCTGGGGTTCCCAGTGAGACCGTGGGTGTTTCACCTGCGATCATGGCTGGAGTGAAAGGAAAGCTTGGCAGGTGTGGCCTTCCTACTGCCCCTGCCCCAGAGAACCAGAGCCAAAGGAGGGGCTGCCAAGGAGCATGACCTTGAGAGGGGTCAGAAGGATTGTACCACAAGGACTGGAGCTGGTCTATCAGGATGGGAGGGGCTGGCCTCACCTGAGATGTTGAACCAGAGGAGGCCGGGTCGGCCCTCTACGCTGATGACCCCCACCATGTGGTTCACGGGGTCCGTCTCCATGACCGTAAAGCTGTAGTGGGTCTCGTCAAAGGCCAGCGGGATGGAGGACGGCCGCGGCTGGGGGATCCACTCGATGTGCAGCCGGACACTGGCTGAGAGCGGGGGCTGCCCACTGTCTGTTGCCTTGATCTGAAAAGAGGCCAGCACTGAAATTGAGGGTTGGGGGCCAAAAAACAAGAAGACCCAGGAAGCCAGGCCAAGAACGAGAGTGCCCTGTGACGGCGCTGGCCTCTCGTCCACTCGCTCGTTCATTTCACGCACACTCGAGGGCTTGCCGTACACAGGCACCATGCTAGTTGCTGCAGGCTTGGCGATAAATACAACGTATAACCTGTGCTCAAAATCTCATGGTTAGTATAAAAATAATAAATGCCACTATTAACTGCAGACCTAACGTGTGCCAGTTCCTAGGACTTCACATATGTAGTCCCCTTACTTTTCCCAATAACCATAAACATAATAAGCTAGAATTATTGAACTGTCACTATTATAAGGTCTTACTAGAAGAGCTTTATGTGCAATATCTAATTTAATTCTCACAATAGCTCTAGCAGAGGTACTATTATCATTTCCCTTTTATAGGAAGAAGCTGGGGCTTGGCTTGGCCAGCTCACCCACTGGATTATACGCTCGGCTGGCAGTGAGGCCAGGGTTGAATTCAGGCTTACTGATACAATTTGATATATTGGATTCCTGCAAGAAAAGTATTCTTCTCCTCATTTTACAGATGATAAAACAAAGGCTCAAAGGGGTTAAATGTCTGGTCCAAGGTCGCACAGGTATAAAGTGGCAGTGCCAGGGTTGGAGCCCAGGCTTATCATAACACCAAAGTCCCTGTTTACACTCACTAAAATCCTTATTTCTAAGAATAGAGAGGATTTCCCAGGCAAGGACCTTATTGCCCTCAAAGAGAAAGGCCCAGAGTTCTGACTCTTTGGCTGAAGTCGGGACTCCTAGTTTCTCTGGGAGATGGCCAGGGAGGGGAGTACCACTTCTACCTTGCCGCTGGCTGTCCCCTTCCTCCCGAGTCCTCAAAGAAAGGCACGGAGCAGTCACGCCACTCCTCCCTCCACGGCTCCATGCGTCTGCTCACCGTTAGGATGTTGTACTCTCCAGCTGTAAAGGTACTGCTGGATGACACCACACCCGTGACAGGGTCGATGCTGAAGCCCTCCTCATCGCTTTCCTCAATATTGTAGGTGACCTTGCCGTTCAGACCCTCATCTGGGTCCGAAGCCACCAGCCTGTACACAGGCCCAGGGAACACTGGGCTCAGCCTCTCTGGAAGGCGGACTTTGAAGAGCTTGTGGGAGAACATAGGTGGATTGTCATTGACGTCCAAGATGCGCACCACCACCCTGGAGGTGGACGTCAGCAAGGGCTCCCCATTGTCCAGCACAATCACCTGGGGACAGAGTCAAGCATGAGCACCCGAGGTACCAAATGCAAAGTAGTGAATATGTATTGCCACCCACCACTGCTCTTGACAGCCTGCAATATTAGTCCATATTTTCCCTGGGGTATATTCTCACCATATATATTATGATAACCTCACCTACTTGGTAACCCCACCCGCAGGAAAACCAGCAAGAACAGAGAAAGGGGCCAGAAAGAACTGGAAGAAGACAAAGTGAGGGTCTCTAGACAAAAGCTGACTCTCTCTTTTTTTTTGAGACAGAGTGTCACTCTGTTGCCCAAGCCAAAGTGCCATGGCGTCATCCTAACTCACAGCAACCTCAAACTCCTGGGCTCAAGCGATCCTCCTGCCTCAGCCTCCTGGGTAGCTGGGACTATAGGTATGTGCCACCATGCCTGGCTAATTTTTTATATGTATTTTTAGTTTTCCAGTTAATTTCTTTCTATTTTTTTAGTAGAGACGGGGTCTCGCTCTTGCTCAGACTGGTTTCAAACTCCTGAGCTCAAACGATCCACCTGCCTCAGCCTCCCAGAGTGCTAGGATTACAGGCATGAGCCACCGTGCCCAGCCAAAAGGTGACTCTCATTATGTGGGAAGACCCATGGGCCATTTCTCAGAGACTGTTTACTTTTTATTTGCTCATAATTCTCATAAGTTTTGTCCTCTGGTTTTCCTAAGCTACTTGAGGATAGAAAAAACAAAGAGAAGGTGCTTAGGAAGGAATGGGTGATACCTTGTGAGTCAGGCATGTGGCTCACTGCATGAAATGAAGTCCAGAGTGAGGGGAAAGGCACCAAAGCAATTTCAGAAGCAGAAGCTACCTTGTGTAGGGGCAAAACCATCCAATGCATCGATATCCCCAAGGGCATCATATGAGAGAGGACATTTCCACTCAAATTGGTGCAGAATTTTTTTAACCATTGTGGTATTTAAAGGCAAATATCTGTTATTGAACTATGAAGAATGCCTCAGTCCCTAAGAACTCTAGAAAGCCACTGAGCAGCTGTTCACTAATAACACCTGTTTCTTACATGAAGAAAGAAAATGTGCAGAGCCTGGAAGTACAGAAGGCAAAATTTATTTCAACTCTGCTGAGGAATATGCATCCCTCCCTCCTGATGCCTTTAAGACTAGAAGCAGTACCTGTTCATCAGCCATGGGCCCACTCAGAAGGGGAAATAGCTAGACTTCTCCCCTGACATCCTCCTCTTCTGATTTAACACACTGACTGCCACACTAGAAAAAAATTTTTTTCCTTGGGGCCTCGGTGTTTTGTTACAAAAATAGAATGAAAATTTCGAAAACAAAATGCTCCTTTCTAATTTAATTAAAATTTTGTTATTTTTTTATTATTTTCTGTGTTTTTTTCCAATAAAAAAGTAATATAAAAACTTGAAAATTAGTAATGTAAAAAGTAATGTGAAAACTTGGAAAATAGTTCATAAGGGTAAAGTGGTTTTCTTGACTTGTCAGGCTTAAGGGTAATTTATAGGTAAACATAAATAGAAAACTGAAATGTATTGACTTCTATTCATTTAATCCACGTTTTTAGAATTGAATTGTCAATATTAATTGTAACAATAAGAACATCAACAAGTAAGATTTTCATGAACCAACTGCAGAATTTTGCCCAGGTTTTGCTTTACGAGGCCCTAGGCTCAAAACTAGCCTGAGTTAAATACAATTCACATGGCAGTTAATGTGCTAATCACCTCTAGCTCACTGACTAAAGCCTCTCATTGGAATGGGCACCAGGAATATCTATGCGATTTTAGAGACATCCTAGAAAGAGCACATATCTAGAAGACAAAGGTCTGTGTTTTCTTCCCGGCCATGCCACTGACCTAGTATTTGACCTTGAATAATTCTCTCTGGGCCAGGGGGATGGACTGGAAACCAGACTTGACAAGTACACAGCACATGTGTACTGCTCCCCTTTCCTGCACTCGCTGCAGGCATTACTAATCAATCAACGATTCCTGCCCAGCCTGGACATGGTTTCAGATTCCTTTCCTTCTTAGTGCTGAAGAGCCAGCAAAGCCCCAAGGATCTTCACCACCAACCACAGCAAGGCTCAGCTCAAATACATCCTCCTTCCTGAGCTCAGTACACTCCTCAGCCACAGTGCTAGACACACATGTGGCTCCAAGGCCTGGCATGGCTCCTTCTTCAGGAGGCTTCCGAATCCAGCAGACAAGTTCACCACCATAACTCACCTCTAGGATGTGTTCGTCCTTGCTCTCTCTGTCCAGCTGCCGGGACGTGGATAGGAGACCTGGGGGACAGATGGTAGGAGGGAAACATGAGCAAAGTGTTCCCAGGGCCACTTTCCTGGGGTGAGTTCAAGAATGACATTCAAATCCCAGATGAGAATTCTTCTGGTCTTTGGAGAACAAATACAGATTACCCCCAAGTTACAGGGGTTTGACTTAGGATTTTTCAACTTTACGATGGTGAAAAATGATACACATTCAGTAGAAACCACACTTTGAGTACCCATGCAACCCTTCTGTTTTTCACTTTCAGCCCAGTAGTCAATAAATTACATGACATAATTTACTTTATTGTAAAATACGCTTTGCCTTATATGCTTTTGCCCAACCGTAGGCTATTGTATGTGTTCTGAGCACATTTAAGGTAGGCTAGGCTAAGCTATGATGTTTCTTAGGTTAGGTGTATAAACACGTTTTCCACTTATGATATTTTCAACTTATGGTGCATTTATCGAGATACAGCCCTATCAAGTTGGGGAGCATCTGTACACTAAAGGGAGATGGAATTCTGGGGAAAGTGAAGGGGAAATGAGGAGGTGGGAGAGCTGCACAGACACCATGTGCTAGCTGAAGTTCCCGTCCACTTCTCACTGTCACTAGGAGGCAGGGGTGACATGTGCCCCAGCGGCCTGCCTGATCAGAGTGGACACCCGCCGGAAGCAGCTAGCCGGTTCCTGGCGCACAGGGTGAACATCGGTAAGGCTGCGAAGCAATTGGGTTCCTTGTCACTAAAATTTAGGGACTTTACTTGTATTTGGATGTCTTCTGCCCATCATTCCTGCCCCCTTCTTTTAGTAAACGAATCCCCGTTTTCCTGAGGGGAGCCACACTGCTCCTAATTTCTGTCATTTGTGATCTGGGGTGAGGCTGACCTACTCCACATCTGGGGAAGGGCTTCCCCCCAAAGGCTGGCCACTCAGCATAGACTAGTCCCCTTGGCCCTCATAACAAGCAATTCATCTGTCTGGTGAGAAACAATTCTGGCACTTTTGTGAGAACTGTAGAAAGAACAGGCTCTTTTGCTGCTAGCAGGCTGAGAGGATAGGACGAAACCTGAGAGCAAAAGGACAGACTCCTGAGGACAGAGGCCACTCCGAGACGATGAGGCTGAGAGATGCAAAGACAGAGTCTTCCTTACATCATGTCAATGCTGGCTACCGTGCCTATGGATGCTTGCAGCCATGTACATCTGGACTTTCCCGTGAAGTAAGAAGATAAATGGTTTTTACTGCCTCAGCCAACCTGGACTGGATTCCTATCTTTCACATCTGAAAAAGCCCTGACAACTGAGTCGATTCTGAGACTTCGTATGTTGGAATGAGAATGGGTTGAGGGGTCAGAGTTGGGCTGGAGCAGCCTCTTCTCCAGGAAGGATGCCACGTCCTGGCTCAGCCCCTCCCTTCCCTTCCTATGGCAATGCCACCCCCCAATTGCAGCCTCAGATTTCTTACGGGGGACCCACTAATTCCCTCTGTGCCTGGCCTTGACTCCAGGAAGCTCCTGCTCATTTCTCCACCTCTTCTGTGGTACCCCAACCCCAAACTGCTCTGTAAAAGGACAAGTGGATTGGGTGACCTTTAAGGTCTTTCTGGCTTAAGTTCTGAACTTCTCATCCCACTTTGAGGAATTTATTCTAAAGAGACCAATGCATAACTCTGCAAAGATAAGTGCACAAGGATGTTCATCATAGTTATGTTTTAAAAAGTAGGTAATTTGACACTATCCATATAAAAGAAGAGATATAAATTGCACATTAAAAAGAATATTATAGAGCCATTTAAAATCTATTTTTTTCCCTAGATGTGGAAATGCTATGTACAATATATTGTTGGGTAGAAAAGGCAGTTGCCCGGATTACAACAGAGGTAACAATTATTGCCTTCAGTTCTACAGAAATCACAAAGTGGTAGTTTTTCACCCCTTTATTATTATCATCATCATCATCATTATTCACCCGGGTCCTAGTACCAGCTCTTCCTACTGACCAGCTGGTGCAGATGAGTCAGAAGAGGGCTCCTCTGGGCCCCCTCGGCGCATCTGTAAATTGAGAAAGTTGAACTTGGTGACTCTGTAAATCTGATTTTAATTTTCGGAGCCACAACAGCTCTAAATTGAGGCAACAAGGGAGAGAAGGTGCCAGTTCTCTGCAAGATACAGGTAAGTCCAGGTCGAGGTTATCAGGGGCCCAGAAGGTCATCCAAACCCATAGCCTGGGAGGTCACAGCTGGCGTGGAAGGTCTCTTTTAAATGAAAACAGCTATTGGTAGGGGTCAACGAACCATCTGAAAATTTTCAGTAAGTTCCTTGAGCTTGTTTCAGAGCTGAAACGATGGAGACCATGGAATTAAGTGCAGAAAAGGAAGCTCAGTGAGGAGAACAGAGTTCCACGGGGGCGTTCAGTGTTGGGGAGGGGGCGCCTCAGCAATGGAAGCGGCAGCGTGGTGTCAGGACGTGGCCTCTGCTGGGGGCACGTCTGCCTCGTGCAGTAGAAACAAGTCGCCCCTGCGTTTCCTTCCCTGACGGAAGGCAGGCGTGGGAGGGATGGGAGACGGCTCCTGCAGAGCCCACTCTCAGGTACCTTCCCGTCAGAGAAGGAGATGAGTGCAAATGAAAGACACATGCCTCTGGGACCGGGGTAGATACTGTCCCAGGCCACTCCGCCCAGCTGGGCCCCAAGCTGAGGGGCCTCATGGAGAAGGGCTGGGGACCAGGGGCTGGGCAGGCGAACCTTCCACCTGGCCCTGTCCTCCCTCCGCCCTGCCCCTCCTCTGACTTCACCCCTTTCTCTCTCTGCGCATCCCTCACTATCCTTTTTCTCTCTTCCTTTCCAGCTCTTCCCCTCTCCCTTTTCCCTTTGTGTCTCCGAATCTCAATCTGTCTCACCCTCTCTTTCCCTTTGCTTCTTCTTTTCTCTCCACCTTTCTCTGCCCACTGCCTCCCCTTGCCTGCTAAGGGCCTGTGTCCCTGCAATCGCTGCCCTGTGGCTTCCGGGAACATTGCCCTGCGGTTGTCCTCACCCCTCTCTGAGGTCGGCGTCGGGATTCCTGGGGAGTGCCCGTGTGGGATGGGGACCCCACGGGGCTGTGTGCGGGCCCACTTAGGTGTGTGGAAAGTCCCTCTCACCCTCCTGGTGCAGGGTGGCACTCGGCTGTGCCCTCTTATCATTTTTCTCCTCCAAACAGGTGTTTCCCCATCACCCCATCTCAGGCCCGTCTCTGACCCTTCGCCCTCCCTCAGCCAACAGCTTTCCCACTTCTGTTGATTCTGCCTCTGATAGATTCCTCCTCCTTTGACTCCTTTGACCCTGACCCACCACAGTCTAGGTCTCGCCCCAACTACCTTCCCACCTTCGTCTGCCTCTTCTTCCCTCCCGCAGCATCACACAGCCAACCCTCAAGGAGGGCTCACCTGCCCGGGCATCCGTTAAGCTCCTCCGAGATCTCTGTATATCATCTCGTGGAATCCTCACAACCACCCGGGAGGTAGCTATTATCATCTCATGTTACTGGCGAGAAAACTCAGGCATGGTGCAGCCAAGTAACTTCCCCAAGACCTTACCATTCATAAGTGGTAGAGCTGGGATGTGCCTTTAGAAATTTGACCTCCTTGCTCTGCCTTCAACGAGATCAGGGTCTTCTTCCCCCCCAGATATTGCTCCTGTCATCCTCCTTGCCCATGTGCCCTGCCAGACTGCTGCCTGCTGAACTCCTCCTCGACCTCAGCTCAGTGTCACCGCCTCCGTGCCGCGAAGCCCTGGCAGATAAATACCCTGAGCTCCACAACGCCACGTCCACACATATTTTACCACGCTAGCTCTCTCGCACTGTTCTATGGTATTCACACCCTAATCTTCATGCTCCTGATGGACTGAATTCCTCCAGCCTGAAACCATGTTTTATTTCTCGCCACGTCTCTCCACAGCACATCGCTTAAAGGCCTGTTAGGGGCAGACACCTTTAAACGTTTGCTGAGGAAGCCAATGGATTTAGGGCTTAGCAAAAGATTGTGGATGCTGGAAGAGATGCATTTATCCATTTAACAATTATTTATTGAGCTCCTACTGTGTGCCAGGTTTTGGTGGGCAGAAACAGTCAGGATTTCTTTTATCAGAAATATTTGAAGTCTAAAGAAGGACATGGATAGCCAGGCTCGGTGGCTCACTCCTGTAATCCTAGCACTCTCGGAGGCCAAGGCGAGTGGATCATTTGAGCTCAGGAATTCGAGACCAGCCTGGGCAAGAGCAAGACCCTGTCTCTACTAAAAAAAATAGAAAGAAATTAGCTGGACAACTAAAAATATATAGAGAAAAAATAAGCTGGACATGGTGGCGCACGTCTGTAGTCCTAGCTGCTCAGGAGGCTGAGGCAGAAGGATCGCTTGAGCCCAGGAGTTTGAGGTTGCTGTGAGCTAGGCTGACTTCATGGCACTCTAGCCCAGGGAACAGAGTGAGACTCTGTTTCAAAAAAAAACAAAAACAAAAGAAGGACATGGGTAAATAATGGAATAATCGCACAAATGAATATAATGTCCTGTGTCATCAGTGTTACGAAAGGGGGTAGGTGCTGCTGGAAAGTGTATTACGGCAGCGTCAGGAAAAACCTCACTAAGAAAAGACCAGCTGGGCTGAGAGAGAAGAGCAGGGGTTGTGCAGGCGAAGGGGAGAAGAGACACCTGCCAGAGAGACACACGTGCAGAGCCCTGTGTCGGGGGAGCCTGGGCTGGAGCAGCCTTGTGGCTGGAACCTGGGGAGGGCAGCAGGAGACCAGAGGAGTCAGCGGAGGTGGGTCAGGCCTGAGTCTGCAGGACACAGCAGGCTCTGACTTTATCCTCAGGGGGCAGGGAATCCGTTGAAGGTAACAAAGCAGGAAAGCGGGACAAAGTCATGGTGGTGACAAAGGTGAGCTGGGGGCCCATTGCTGATTTATTCTTTTATTTTTAAAAACTTTTACCCTAATAAAGATTTCTTCTCCTCAACTGCAGGAGGACTAAGAACATCTCTGCCCTCTGGGGCATTTTGCCAGACCTGCTGTGAAGGAACTGTTGATGGTAAACAGAACAGGGATTTGGGAGAGCTGAGAAGTTAGTGCCTCAGGTGAGAGATCTCTTTCCTCTTCTGCAGAGGGAGGGACAGGGTCAGTGCAGGTAGAGCCAGCTGAGACCTGTTTTCTAGGAGAAAATCATCCTCCTTTAGGAGGACTAATCCACATCCTGAGGTCAAAGGTTAACAGAAAAGGTTCCCAACAAACCTCACTGGGCACATGGACACTTGTATCCCCCACTCACTAGCATTCTTCCCTGCTTCCAGTCTCACGAGGGTTCTGTCCTTCCCAGACTAGAGCAAATTGTTGGAGACAGAGAATAGGATGTTGGGTTCAGAGGAGAAAGTGTCAGCCTTCTCTGCAATAGGGTTGTTCATCCCCCAAGAGGAAGATGAGGGCTTTGAGAAGTGTCTGCTGCAGTGGGAAGTGGCTCTCAAACTCCAGCGCCAACAGGAGCCAGGTAAGTGGGGACCACGGGGACCAGGCGACATGAGCCTGTCTGCAGAGGGAGCTGCTGTCAGCTCTGGTCCATCATGGACTGGTGGGAACATGAAGACAATGTGGCCAGTTCTTCCAATTTTTAAAGAACAACCAGAAATCTGGAATATTTTATATAATTTCCTAATTTTTAAGTGTCGGCCACATTTGAAAATCATTGTTTAAAGCTCATGCAAGTCAAATAAAACACCTCTGTGGGCTACATCTGGCTCGCTGCTGCCAGCCAGTGACCTCTGGATTCCTCTAAAAAACCACCCACCACCCTTGCCCCAGAAGGCCTTGGGCAGATGCCAGTGAGATTGTTGACTCAATGTAAGTGGATCATTATTGCCACTAATGATCCACCTGGACGGGGTGAGATCATTCTGGAACTAAGGTTAAGGGATTCAACCTGAGGCTTGTGACTCAGGGGAGGAGTTGGTTTGGGAGTACTTGGAGGTCTGAAATAGTCCCAGCCTGGCCACCTGGCAACCTGCTTAGCTTTCCTGGGCCCCAAGGAAAGAAAGTTGATGACAAATTCTTCTCATTTTCCCGTGGAGTTGGACTTTGTAGAACGGTGTTCTCAAACTTTAGCACACATCAGAATCCCCTGCTGGTTTTGTTAAAACACAGATTGCTGGGCCCCACCCTCAGATTTCGGACTCAGTAGGGCGAGGGTGGGGAGCTGAGAATTTAAATTTCCAACAAGGTCACCGGGGATGCTGATAATGCTGGTCAGGACCCACAAGTTGAGAACCACCATGTTCACCCAGCTTTTGGGGCCCTTACCTGTGAAAGGGTGAATAACAAAGAATCCCATGTGGTTCCCACTGGTGATGTTGAAGGTCAGCTTCCCTTCGGAGCTGGAGTCCGGGTCCCAGGCATCCAGCTGAAGCACAGAGGTGCCCACAGGCGCGTCCTCCCAGATGGAGGGGTAGAACACAGCTCTGGACATCCGGGGTGGGTTGTCATTGACATCTGTAACCTCAATGTAGACTTCAGTTACAGAAGAGAGGGGTACGGAACCTCTGTCCACCGCCAGGACTGTCAACCAGTAGTAGGATGCGAATTCTCGGTCCAGGGGCGACAGAGTCTGAATCATCCCTAGGAACAGAGAATCACCAAACACCAAATTCTTTAGAGCTCTAAGTGGCTTCAGATATCACCCTACCTAACATTCCCTGAACTGCACTATGGAAAGGATATTAATAGGTATTCCAGAAAAAGGAAGGAGTTGTTACCGACATGATGGGGGAGATGCTGAGTTGAACACAGGGGAACAAACATCCTTATTCGAGAATCTCTCACAGCCTTTCTCTGCTAAAACGGGCTCATGATTCTGGCATGTGGGCATGTGTAGGATTTCCAGAAGACAGTGGTAGTTGATCTACTTTCTCTTGACTACTTTAACACAAGTTCCATTGATTTATTTCACATTCTGTAAGTGAGATATTTTTACAGTTGTCCTTAAACTGCTTCCTTCACTCTTTAAGTTCTGGTAGATAATCAGTTTAAGGGTTAGGGATTTGGCAAATAAATTGCTTTTCCCTTCTCCATCACCTTCATGATTTTAGGGCCTGAGCTTCATTCTTTAGTTCGCTCACTCCACAACTTGCTTGCTAGGGGCCAGCACTGTTCTAGAAGTTGAGGGTCTGAGTGTGAGCAACAGAAGCTTGCATTCGAACCCCTCATGGATCACGCTCAGCTGGCAGAACCTGTGTGAGAGGGCAGGGCCTGTGCTCACAGCCATAGCGTGACGGAAGTGACAGAAGGGGAAACAGGCTCAGAGAGGGAGCACGATTTTACCAAGATAATGTAGAAGAACTTTACCAAGTATGCAGAAGAACTGGATCTGAAATTGACTCAGTCTAATGGTTTTTCCACCACTTCACCCTGCCCTTTACTCTGGAAATAAATCACCTACCAGACTGTAAACTCCTTGAGGCAGGAATCTGCCTTTATTCACCTCAGATCTCCCCACGGTGCCTATCCCAGGACCTCACAAGCAGTAGGTACTCAGTAAATGTTTGCTAAATTGCACTTATTTTCTATGAAGCTTAAAGAGAAAGCATAAGGTGGTGTGGCCTTCTTAGAGAGTAATTTGGAAATATCTATTAACGTGGAGAGTGTACATTATCCTTTGACCCAGCAATTTCATTTTCGGAGTTTTTCCTATAGAGACTCATGCATATGAGTCAAAGTACATAAACAGGAATGTTACACTATATGATAGAATAACATGCAGCCAATAAAAAAAAGTAAAAATATTTATATACTGACAAATAAGATGCCCTGATGTTATGTGATAAAAGTAAGTTTCAGAAGTAATGTCTATTATATTGTGTTTTCATAATAATAAAATGAACCATGATATTATAGCAGATATTAAAAAAATTAGAAGATTATGGAACAAATTGTTAATAAATATTATATCTGGGGAGATGGGATACAAAGGAACTTTCATTTTTTAATTTATATAAAAAACTTATAACCAGATATATTACTTTTGTGAAGAGAATATATGTAATATATGTGTATATGTTGTGTGTGTATACACACACATAAATATATTTGTGGTATATATACACACACGCAGACACATATATCTCTCTTTCCTGTAAAGATAAATTAAAAATAAAAGGGACAAGAAGGAGAATCTCTACTTATTGCCTTTCATCTCAGCCTGCAGCTTGATTTCGCTCCCCTTCGGCCCATCTTCCCCAGGGCCTGGGGCTCCCATCCTACCCCACTCCGGGTACCTGTGTCTTGGTTGATGCTGAAGGCTGCAAGACCAGTGCCAGCGCGCAGGAAGTACTGGAGCTCCCCATCCAAGCCACTGTCATCATCGTGGGCAGCCACTACCAGCACCTGAGTTCCCGGGGGGCTGTTCTCTTGCACCTGGCCCTGGTGCACGAAGGAGACAAAGCGGGGAGGATGGAGATTCTCATTCACATCCAGGACGATCACCTCCACGTGGCAGAGGGTCCTGCGGGCCAGGGGTCTTCCACTGTCACTGGCCCACAGGCTCAGATTGTACCCAGTCTGCCTCTCAAAGTCCAGCTCTCTCTCCAGACTGAGCGCCCCAGTCATCAGGTCTACCCGGAAGGTTCCATGAGCATCATCCAACAGGACATATCGCACTTCGCCCGCAGGGCCCAGGTCAGGATCAGAGGCATCCAGAAATGTCAAGATAGTACCCAGGGGCAGGTCCTCTGGGACCTTCAGCCTGCTGAGTTCTGTGATGCACTGGGGAGAGTTGTCATTGGCATCTTCCAATGTGACTATCAGGTCAGTGACAGAGAAGAGCTGGTGGCCCTTCCTGGGCTGATCCCTGGCCTCCACCTTGAGTACATACCGAGGTTCTGATTCCCGGTCCAGGTGGCCTGTGACAACCAGCTCCCCGGTGAGAGGGTGGAGGGAGAACTTCTCTGTGGGGCTTAGCAGGGTGTAGCGAACCCGCCCGTTGTCCTCTGAGTCAGCATCTTCTGTTTTCAGCTCTGCAATTGTGGTCCCAACTTCTGTGTCCTCTGAGATGGTTAACTGGTACCCACCAGGAGGAAATCTGGGTGCATTGTCATTCCAGTCTTTCACATTCACAGTCAGCAGCTTCCAGGAGGACTTCCGGGGCGTGCCCAGGTCAAACACTGTTACATTGAGGATATAGAACTTGGTGGCTTCATAGTCCAAGGGAGCAGCTACAGTAAGCAGCCCCGTCTCCAGTTCAATGTCAAAGCAGCCCTCCTCATTGCCATCTGCAACCACATAGACCAGTTTGCCATTAAAGCCAGTGTCAGGGTCAGTGGCTGCTAGGCGGGACAGGAGAGTATTGACAGGAACATTTTCAAGGACATCAATAGATTGGGGGAAGTGGTCCTCAAACTGGGGGGTATGACGATTAATCTGATATGTGCTTAAAGAAATGAATTCCTCGTCACCAGGCTCCTGGTTCTGAAGGCCAATAGAGTGGAGGATGGCCTTCGTGAACTGTGTCAACACCCCTGTTTTATCACATGTTACAGGAACTTCAAAACGAGGGTCCTTCACCACAGTAACATTCAAAGTTGTGGGTGAGGCATAGTTTTTGCCATCGGAGGCTGTAATTTTGAGGGAGTAGCTGGTGGGTTGACTAGCGGTAAGATTCATAAAAGAGCGTTTGAGGGATATCACTCCAGAGAAATGATTTAGATCAAAATACTCTAGCTCATTACCCGACAAGATTTCGTATTTTAGATTCTGAAGCTCATCCACGTCTATGGCTGACATGGTCATCACTGACTTCCCCACAGGCCAGTCTTGGCGGATGGACCCCGTGCAGTTGACTTCTTCAAACACAGGCTGGTTGTCATTCAAGTTTTTGAGCTGAAGAGAAATGGACACTTCCTTCTCCCGGCGAAAAGGGGATCCCCAATCGGATGCCCGTACCCGGAAGTTATAAATTCTTTTCATGAGCTCATAGTCCATGGGTTTGGAGGTGGAGATGATCCCCAGGTACGGGTCAATGGAAAAGGGCACAGCTTTTGGAGCTGCAATGGAATAGGTGATGTATCCGTTTTCTCCGTGATCCCGGTCAGTGGCAGCAACAGTCAAAACACTGGTGCCTGGAGGGATATTCTCATCCAAGGTGCCATCATAGGAAGACCTGTTGAAGGTGGGGGCGTGGTTGTTACAGTCCACGATGTCAATGACCACCATGGTGGAGGCCAGGCCAGGTGAGGTCCTGATGTGTAGCTGATAGCGGGCTCTGTCACGGAAGTCCATGAGCTTCGTGGTGGTGATCAGCCCAGTGCGAGCATTAAGTTTAAACCCTGCATTCTCTGAGGACGGCTTTAGAACATACTGCAGGTTGGAGAAGGCTGGGGTGACCCTCACCATCACCACGCGGCTGCCAGGAGGGGAAAACTCACTAAGCTGCACTTTGTAAACGGCCTTCTCGAATTTGAGGGAAGCCAGTTTGGAAGCGGGTAGGTGAAATCCCCTGATCTGGGAATGAAAAGGACTGCTCCCGCTCCTGGCCTGGAGACTGAGGTTGAACCCGTGAAGGTGCTCTATCCAGTTGATGTCTTTGACGGACACCAGCCTGAACTCATTGCTCCGGGCATAAGACTTGATGGCTTTGAAGTGCTTTCCAGGGTCACCCCCAACGACTTCCACCGAGTGCACTTCGGCTCCTGCGCTGTTTGCATCTACCACTACAGTGGCGTAGGTGGCGCCCTCATTGCTGTCTGGTGGAGTCACCACCACGGAGACAATGGCCGGGGGCTTCCTGAGGGCAGGCTCCACGTGGATGAGCAGTGGAGCCAAGTTGCCAAACCCGTTGCCTTCAGAGATTTTCCGCATGCGGTCCACAGCCAGCACCTGGAGCTCATACTTCCCTCGCCGCGTGACGTTGAGCTTCCCAGCCACAGTGACCACGCCGCTGGTGGGATGGATGGCAAACATTTCTGACCTTGTGTTAAGGGCATAATAGAACTGAGCGTTCTGGCCCAGATCAGCATCTGTGGCAGTCACCTTGCAGATGGGGCTCTTGAGGGGCATGTCATCAGAGATGGTGACTCTGTACGAAGGTGGGGAGAAGAGTGGCTTCAGGTCGTTCTGGTCCAGGACATGGACCACCACGTGGGTCAAAGCTTCAAACTCCAGGGTCTTCTCTGTGGCTTGGATGATGAGGGTGTAGCTGTCTCGCACCTCCCTGTTCAGAAGAGCAGTGTTGCTGTTCTTTGTCCTTATTCTCAGGAAACAGAAGTTGCCCACCACATACTCCTCAGTTTTAAATACATTGGCCACGTCCCCAGAGATGATCCGGTACCTCACTGCCCACTGCGGCTCCGCGAGGTAGATGCCCATCTTCTCAGAGCTCTCCACGTAGGTCTTGGGAGCAGAGTTTTCATAGATGGTGGCGTTGTAATGGGAGTGTGTGAAGTGCCAAGCTGGGGAGGAGATGGTCCCTTCTAGGGGCTTCTCACAGGTCACACAATGGAGCAAAAAAATGGTAAAACCCAGCAAGGCAATAGTCATGGTGACAAAACTCCTAAAGCCCTGGACAGAAAAAGAAAGACAGGGTAAGGGTGCAAGTTAGGAAAGTAATGGTTCCTACTGATGTGGCTCTTCACTGGAGGTGATTTTGACCCTCTGGGGACAATGCCCGAAGATGTCTGGGGCTTTCCCAGCTTAGGGGTGGTGGCGTTGCTGGCATCTAGTGGGTGGAGGCTGCGGATGCTGCTAAACATCCTGCAATGCACAGGACAGTCCCCACAACAGAATTATCCAGCCCCCATGTCAATAGTGCCGAGGCTCAGAAACCCCAGGGTTGAAGAATAACAGACTAGTTCAAAATGCTCTCTCAAGGGCGTTCGACACATAAAACTCAGTCCTGAGCTCTTACTCCTTTTTCCGAAAACTTTTCTGTGGTCCCCTAGTGATGGTAAAATAGTCCCAACTGTTGGCCTGGAACCTGGCTTGGCGATCCGGCTCTAAACTACTCTCCCCACTGTCCTCCCCGCTGTCATGGCTGAGCTCCAGCCGCAGTGAGTGGCTGCTGCATGTGCAGGGCTGCAGGACAGCAAGATGACCACGATCCAGGGCCTGGCATCGGGCTGCCTGGCTCCCAGCCCCACCTCCACCATTCGCTAGGTGGGTGACTTTCTGGACAAGGTATTTAACCTCTGTGAGCCTCGATTTCCCTTTCTGTAGAATAAAGATAAGAAAATTATCTATCTCATAGGATCGTTTGTGAAAATTAAACGAAATAATGAAGGTAAATGACCCATCAGAGTGCCCACTGTACCATAAGTTTTAACTTACTATTAGCCATCGTTAATAATGGGACACTAAGTTTCATCAAAGGAAGGGAGCTGCCCAGGGCCTTACAGCTAGTGGGAGCTCCTGGAGTCACAAGGCAGGGCTGCCTCCTGCTCCAGTCCTCTCTGTATCCTTCCCACCACGTGTCCCTCATGGACAGGGCCTGATTCTGACTCATCTCATAGCCCAGAACATGAAAACTCCTGCACGCCTAGGATGTCAGAGTGGAAATGGGCGTTAGAGATGATGGAGTTCTGTCCCCGATCCTCATGCATAGATGGGGAAATAGAGTCCCAGAGCAGGGCTCAGTCTTGCCCCGACTCACACAGTGAGTGGCCAGGTAAGAACTAGTCTCTGGCATTAGGTCCTGTTGAACTGAGCAGGAGTGAATGCCATGCCCCTCTGAGGCATGCTGCTGCCCAATCTCTCCCTTGCTGTTTCCCATAGAGCCCATCCCTGAGCTCCAACCTGGGTCAAAATGTGAGACCCAGGGCCAAGAATGGGGCAAGGGGCAGGGGGCAGGGGGTAGAGTTTGGGAGGGCCAGGTGGTGCCTGGCCTGCCCATGGGAGACAGGATTCCTGGGAGCTTGGAAGCTGCCAACCAGCTGTGCTGGGGCATTCCTGGATGGAACAGGCCAGACTTGTTTTTCCAGTTGCCTTGCTCTTCAAAGGTAAGGAAGAGTTAAACTTCCAGGGCAAGGGGAAACAGAGAGGCTTGGAGCCCTGTCTTCCCAGAGTCCTGCATGAACTGGGGGCAGGGTTCTGTAAGATCCTGCCTCTAGCATCCCCAGAGGGGAGGCACGATGGAGGCAGGGTCTGAAAGCCTCCCCCTCTTTCCAGCTTCCCCACCCCCACTTCAGATCCTGTTGGTCGTGCCCCAAGCCCCGGCACCTCAGAAAAGGCGGGGAGGATGGAGGCAGATTCTACACTGGGGGTCAGAAAGAGCCGCTGTGCGTTCCTCACCCTGCTCGCCCCCTGCTCTCCCCGCTTGCTTACCGCTGCAGCCCCCAGCGGGCCAGCCCCAGGCAAAAGGCTTCTCCTGGCACAGCCCCCACAAGCAGGAGGGGACCCCGAGTCATTCGGTCCCTGGCCCCTGCAGGATGGCATTGCTTTTCAAGTTGGAACCCCAGGGGAAAATGATTCCTCACCCAGTCCCCGTTCCACTGGCTCCTCAGCTCCACCAGCCCAGGTTGGTTGCAGGCAGCCTCCCAGCCCTGCCCTCCCTGCTGTGCAGAGAGCTTCCTGTTCACCAGGTCAGCACCTGCGCTGGGCAGGCCCCAGCAAGACACACTACACTGCTCTCGGCTGCACAGGCGCCTCACAGCGCAGGAGCCGTTAAGATGAGCTGTAGGGAAGGGAGAAGGGTGGGGTCTCCCTGGGGGGTGGGGGGGACGAGGTGCAGAGAGAATGCACCCTTGGGTGGCAGCTTGGTGCCCATGTCTGTGCGCAAGCTGTAGGACCCACACGCCTGGCTAGTAGTTTGCTAACGGAAGGAACAGTCTGCACAGCTGTTCCCTGGCACTGGGTCCAGGTAAGTGACAGGCTTGGAGGGCACATTGGTCTCCCTGCATCACCCTCCCACCCACAACACCTGAGACCATCTTGTGAAAACTTGTGAAAATATAGATCAATTCATATGGCCTCTGTGTTTTTGTTTTCGTTTTTGAGACAGAGTCTTGCTCTGTTGCCTGGGCTAGAGTGCCGTGGCGTCAGCCTAGCTCACAGCAACCTCAAACTCCTGGGCGCAAGAGATCCTCCTGCATCAGCCTCCTGAGGAGCTGGGATTACAGGTGTGCACCACCATGCCCAGCTAATTTTTTTTTCTATTTTTAGTGGTCCAGCTAATTTCTTTTTATTTTTAGTAGGAACGGGTTCTCTCCGCTCTTGCTGAGGCTGGTCTCGAACTCCTGAGCTCAAGCAATCCTCCCATCTTGGCTTCCCAGAGTGCTAGGCATACAGGCATGAGCCACCACACCCAGCCCCCTGTTTAAATATTTTCCAGTGGTTCCCCACAGCACTTATATTAAAATCTAAACTCCTTACCATGGCCTGGAAGCCCCACACCATCTGGGCCCTGTCTACTTCTCCAGCGACAGCTCCTAGCACTCTTCCCATTATTCACCAAGCTGCAGCCACACCAAAGTATGACCTGCCTCAGGACCTTTGCACTTGCTGTCTCCCTTTACTTAGGATTCTCCCATGGGTAGTTCCTTCCTGTCATCTAGTTTTCAGCTCAAATATCACCTCCTGACCCCCAGTTTGGAATAGCCTCCCTACCAACCTCCTTCCTTATCACTTCATCCCATCTTTTTCATGACACTTATCACCACCCAATATATTCTTGTTCATTTGTTTAATAACTGTCTCCCCGATTTGACACAGGGCCCCATGAAGACAAGAGCTCTGTGTATCTTACTCATGGATGAATCCCCAGTGCCTAAATCAGTGCCTGGTATATAGAACCAGGCTCAATAAATACTCATTGAAAAACAGAAGAATCTGGACTTAGGAAAAGCAATGACAGATGAAAG